GAAATTTATCATTAATAAAAATTTCAAGACCCCCCCCCCCAAAAAAAAAGCATATATTTTACTGATCCAGGAGGGGGATGAGCCCCTATAGCCCCCTCTGAATACGCCTCTGGATAATAACATAGATATGTTTGAGAAATTTACAAACATATTTCGGAATGGAGTTAGATTTGAAAGAACAAAACTAAGCAGTTTTAAAGATAAATTCCTATAGAATGAGAAGTGCCAGGCAAAATCAATGAATTGATTAAGCGACTATATAGTATTTACATATAAACTACATACAAACAAGAGTAATTTGCTGCATATAAGTTAAAAATATAAATAAAAAATATATTTTTATTGATCAAACTTTGTTGTAATAAAACAATTTTTAGTGCTGGGGTTTTTCCTTCTCTTCCCTATTTCCCTTTGCTATTCACCCATCCTTCTTTTTTTCCTTTTTTTAAAAATTACTTGGTGAATTATGTAATGTATTCGTTATTTGTTAATTTTAAAAAATTAAATGTATCTATAAAACTTTGGAGGGCCAGCCAATCAAAACAACTAGAAATGGTTAGGCTATAGCCCTGGCTAATAATTGTTTAGTAAAAAATTATAAAATGTAAAATGTATTTATTATAATGTTAGCCGAAATATCTATCTATCTATCTATCTATCTATCAATTACCCAAACAAAACTTTTCAGAATTAGAAAATCCACAAACAATTACTACCCTTTTCCTCCTCCCCTTCCCCTTCTACCCCCTGTTTTCCAGGTATACTATTAATCTGTAAAAATATGTGTGCGGTTTTGTTTGATCCCAAAAACATGTGTTTAAAACTCTTTGATAAACTCAATATTCCCCCGCATTGGGATTTCACAACACTTTTTCCCGACCCGTAAATTTTCCAAACTATCTTTTATTGCACTGAAAGTAGGTTTACATAGATCCAGATTGCTATGAAAAGTTGCTTCAATTTTAAAGACCAGGTCGACTTCAAAGTGTCACAACGCGTAGGCTTTTGGTTTTTCTACACTCACTCACTTATACTTTTTGGTAGCTCTAAATAAGTAATCTTATTCAGTTATCGGTTTATGTAATGTTTAATTTAATTAATTATTTAACTTTGAAGAACTTTAAGAAATTTACAAAGAATAAAAAATTCAATATAATGATGATAACGAAAAAATTGATTCAGCGATTATTTTCTATTGAAAAATATGTTACCAAACAACAAAATAGTGTACTGTAGAATATTTGTTACATTTTTCGTCCAGATTATTTAATAATTGTAAAGTGGTGAAAAATGGTGAAAGTTTACAAACAAATTTTCGCTCTTAATACTTAGAAATTATACACCGTATAAACCTCTCAATAGTATCAAATGAATCCATAAAGTTTGTCTTTATAATACTGCACTTTAGGTTCAAATATGTTACATATGCGGTCTCTCCCTTTAAAGAAAATCTCTTATTGTCAAACAAAAATCTTCAAAATGAGCAGCTCTGAGTTAAAATGCAATAAAGGCCTACACCTTGTTTTCTCTGAATATTTAAGAAATTCCCACCCTTACTGTGTTCCTTTCTCTATG